TAATAAAAAATATAAATATATTAAATTTATATTTTAATAATTAAGAATAATTTTAAAAATTAATATTACATTTTTAATAAAGTACTTATAAATCATACATTTTAATATTATTTTTTTTGTATTTTAATTATTATTTTACTTATATACTAAACACTATAATGTTATGTTCCCTACAATTACATTATTTGTAATCATATTACCTGTAATCATATTACATTGTAAAGTACTAAACGTCACCTTAATACAAAGATTCATTGAATTCATGATGTAGTTGAACTTAAAAGAGAAGTTGAATGCTTGATGCCAGAGAAGTGATAGAGATTTGGGGCAGTGGGATAGAAAGTTTTGACTTGCAGAGAGGATTCAAGTTGCAAATGGTTTCTTTATGCTACTTGGATTCAGCTTAGATGCTAAGAGGGATAACAATTACGAACAATTAAAAAAGAGATATTTGAAATACATGACCGATGGTGAAGAAAATGGCCAAATAGTTGAGAATAATGAAACGGGCTCCCAAACTTATTGACCCTTGATACGGTTCGTTTTGATTCAATGGGCTTACGGGAGGACGACGACAGAGAAAAGGCCAGGCTGGCTGTCGTTTCATGTGAGGGCCCCATTGTCTCTATTCTTGGAGTTGTCGGCAATCACTGTATCACAATCACCATAACGTGTGGTTCCAATTTAATATAGAAATGGGAAGCTCTTGATCCCCCATTTTTTGTACAATTTCGTTTCTCCCAAGCCTCTCGCACTTACATTTGTAGGCAGTTTTATTTCCTTTGTTTCTTACTTTCCAGTGTTTGTATTTAGATAAAATTGGGTTTGAGTTTCCTTCTCTTGAATTATTAATATCACATGCTCTGAGAGATAGCAGAGTATTTTGGCTTTGGTGTATCTGGGTTTTCACAATTGTATCATTTCATGGCCTCTTCAATGCTTACTGGAGCTGAAAATCTCAAGCTCATTAGTGGAGCAGCCCCAACAGGGTTAGGCTTCGTGGGGTCAAATTTTCATTTTAGGTGCTTGCCCCAGAAGGGTTTACTATCTTATTGCAAGAATCAAAAGAGTAGAATTTTAGCACCCAGATGCAGTGTATCATCCTCGAGGCCTGCTTCTCAGCCTAGGTTCATACAACACAAGAAAGAAGCGTTTTGGTTTTATAGGTTTTTATCAATAGTGTATGATCATGTCATAAACCCGGGCCACTGGACAGAGGATATGCGAGATGAGGCGCTTGAGCCTGCTGATCTTTATGCTAGGAATATGACAGTGGTAGATGTTGGGGGCGGAACTGGGTTTACTACTCTTGGCATAGTGAAGCATGTCGATGCTAAGAATGTCACAATTCTTGATCAATCACCTCACCAGCTTGCCAAGGCCAAGCAGAAGGAACCTTTGAAGGAATGCAAGATAATTGAAGGTGATGCGGAGGATCTCCCATTTCCTACTGATTATGCTGATCGATATGTGTCTGCAGGGAGGTAATATCTCCCTTCACCTTTCTTCTATTAAAAATTTCCCATAATTTTTTCAGTTATGCAAAATAATCGTTATGTCTATAAGCAGTTTTGGAGAATTGTAAAATTGGGTTCCCTGTAGGGCACTTTTGGTAGTGATAGTCATTTGTACACTTTGAATGGGAAATTGAGGAATATAGCTTTAGAGATTTGTTACATTAAACAATGGCATTCTTTTCATATTTTAGGTTTTTTAGATCAATTTTATATTGGTGCATATTCAATCTAGGTTCTTTGTAAGGTTTGTCTCTGATGTTATATGTGGCTTTCTTTTTGCGTTCCTCAGTATTGAGTACTGGCCGGACCCACAGCGTGGGATCAAGGAAGCTTACAGGGTATTGAAAATAGGAGGGAAAGCCTGTGTTATAGGTCCCGTGTATCCAACATTCTGGTTGTCTCGCTTTTTTGCAGATATGTGGATGCTCTTTCCGAAAGAGGAAGAGTATATAGAGTGGTTTAAAAAGGCTGGTTTTAAAGATGTGAAACTAAAAAGGATCGGTCCGAAATGGTATCGTGGTGTCCGAAGACATGGCTTGATCATGGGTTGCTCTGTGACTGGAGTGAAGCCATTGTCAGGAGACTCTCCACTTAAGGTAGTATACTTTTCATCTTTAGATTTTTTGTGTATCTAGAAATGAATTTCTTGTGCCTAGTATATGTGGTTTCCTAAAGTTTACATCATATAGTTAAATAAATAGGGTGAAAGTCCAATATTTAACTCCTTGTGCTTGCTTACTATTTCTTCAAAGTAATCATACTGCATAATCTATTTAGTACTGTTGTCATTATCTGGAAAAATTTTTCTTAGGATGGGTGATTAACTGATAAATGATTAGAATACTTTTCATATGGTTGTTGAAGAATTGGATTCAATTAGTAGTAAAAGTTCATCCCCATTTTGAATTAAGATCTTGCATCATTCGTACTATTTTTTTGGAAAGTTTTTGGCTAAGAGGTTCATAAGCCTATCCTGAGATCTTATAATTTGTCTCTGAGGATATCTGAATATAGACTTGGGGTTACTAGTTTTTGCTTTGAGCTTATTTAAACCATCTTAGCCATTTATAACAGCATGCAGTGGCCTGTTTTTCACATTTTATTTCAAATTGGTGCCAAAGGATTTGTTAAGATTTATGCATGGAAAGTTTTGGAGGGAGAAGCAAGTTAAAAGAAGCTATTATTGTTCTTCTACTTCTGTACTTCCTTCACATTTTGGTCTTTCTTTTTTGTATTCATTAGCTCATTTTGATCTTCAAATTTAAGATATCTACTCTAACTTTTACCATATGTCTGCACTTTTCCATCTTCCTGCTCTCAGATTTAAGAGTCTTGCTTCTTCCCTTCTGATTAAAGGAGGGAATTGGTAGACATTTTCTTAGGAATTCAATATCATGGATCTGAGTTTTTTCTCACCTCTGCTTCTTAATCCTTTTTGTTCTTTCCATCTAGTTTATTAATTTATGCCCATCTTGCATCTCTATGTTTTCAGTGTCTTCTGTCATATTCTCGGTGTGAATTAGTTTCTTCAGTTACTCAGAGAAAACGAAAACAACAGAAACTAGCAATAAAAGTATTCTATACATTTTATAAACTTCAACGTTACTAGATTTTATTCCTTCTGTAGTACTGATGGGGTATCATTCTTATTGCAGCTTGGTCCAAAGGCAGAGGATGTCCAGAAACCTGTTAATCCTTTTGTGTTCGTTTTGCGGTTTGTTCTCGGGGCGATGGCAGCAACTTACTATGTGCTGGTTCCCATTTACATGTGGCTCAAAGATCAAATTGTACCGAAGGGCCAGCCTATATGAAATGAGAGAAATGGAAAATGATGATCAAATTCTTCTGCTGGTGACTGCTTTATCTGACTAGTTATTTCCTTTTGCTTCTCTTTGCAAGATTTAGTAACTAGCCATGCGAGATAACCAATTAGGAGAATAAATTGAAGCTTTACCCTCACTTTGTAGCTACCTTTTTGCCTTAATAGAGCAGTATGTGTTGCACCAAAAAACAAAAAAGAAAAAAAACTGAACTCGAGGTGCAAGTTTTCTCTTGTAAAAAAGTCAACTCTTTCTGTTACAATGATTGTCTAAGAGGAACCTTTTCTTTTTGTATCCTGATATAGATATGTTCTGAGGAAATGGGCAAGAAATTGGATAAGGATCATTGTCTGATCTGATTGCTCTTGTGCTGGTGAACCTTTGCTGGGTTTATATAAAGGAAAATGTTAAAAGTAATGATGGAACCTTCTATTGAGAAATGCTGGAGTGCACATAGCATTCGCAGCATTTTCCTTCAAAGAGTTATTTTTAGGTCACTGATTACACAAGTCAGTTGCAGCATACAGGGTTCCTCCTTTTCAGCTGGACAATGCATCTCTATTCAGGGTTAAATCACCTACAATTACATACAATATGGCAATGATGGTTTCATTGATTGAGATTCTAGTATATCAGAAGCACAATAACAATGACAGCAAAGAGATATAAACCACTAGATATTTGACAGGAAAGGAAGCTCCTCACCAGCAGGACCCGTACTGTTTGTCAAACTGTATATGGATTTTGGTCAGTGGCCAGGACCTCTGAAACCGTCGCCCTCAGATAGGCCAGAGACCTGAACATCCAATAACTCTGAATGTCTGGATCATTCAATTTCAACTGGGCTAGGAAAATGGGTTTTCAAATTGTGACAGACCGGGACCGTTAATCAAGCACACATTTGAAGGCTAGGCCCGCTAAGAGATTCCCTGGAGGAAGGCGACTCAGTCAGAAAGCATAGGCAGAAAAATCCCAAATTTTCCTCAGTCAATTCCATGGCTTATATGTCTTCTAGTATGGGCTTTGAAGGTTGAATCAAAGTCTAAACTGTCGACCAAGACTCTGTCTCTGTCTGTGCTTATCTCTTACGTGTTGATTTCGCGTCGATCTCCTTGGCCAAGCAGAGTATTTTATTAGAATTTAGATTATATCCCAAGTTTTCTGTTACTCACTTTGCCACAAATTTCAAAGAGTACGGTTTGCTGAGCCAAACCGCGTGGACAGCCATGCACATTTATAGTTTCCTCTCCTTTCTTTATTTATTGACTCGGGTTGTTACTCTTAATTTTCTTTAGATCCCTACTTACATTAAATTTTACAATGAAAAAATCCCACCACTCATAATCTTTTCTCAAACCCAAACTTAAATGACAAGTAAAGATCCAGAAGATGGAGAAAAGGGTAATGCCAAAGCACGTTTGATTCTTCTTATCGTGTTGAAAAAAGAACAGGGTAATCCTTTGAACCATCTCTCAACGGGCTCGTGCAAGCAACGCAGCGTGCGTTCTGGGGTTGAAAAATAGAAATGCAAACAGTGTACACATCTCCCCAAAGTCCATCCTTCTCTCCTGTCTTTTACTTTGAATGCTTTTGTAGTTTTGTCTCCCAAACATCAAACCCTTACAGCTGTCTTAAAATTTTAATTCCCCATATCTTATTCACTAATATACAAAGAGAAGTGCAGATTAACAAGTTCATTAATCTCACCCAGAAAAAGAATTAAAGAAATGGAAAAAGGGTCATAATCTTGGACGGCAAGGGAGTGGAGGGAGAAATCTGAAAAGCAATTAGCACTGTAGCAACCAATTTAAGTCATAGGGTGGATTTGACTTTGATTATTAAACTCTTTTTAGTTTTAATTAAAATTTTAACTAAGAAATTTTCTTTAAACTTCCCCGCATTGGAATTCTACATAAACCCAGCTAAGCTTGAGCTATACTCAACAACGTACACGCATATTCTCTCTCTTACCGTCTCTCTCTCTCAAACTTCCCAACTTTCTTTAGCTTTCCAGGCAGCCAAACAAATGAACATGGGAGATATACTAACTGAAGAACAGATTGTTGAGTTCAAAGAAGCCTTCTGTCTCTTTGACAAGGATGGGGATGGTGAGTTTATTCTTCACTTCATGCTTAAAATGCAGCATAATTCTAGTTTTTTGTTTCAGTCCTCATTGTTAATGATATTTTGCATGTTTTATTAGGTTGCATTACTGTGGAAGAACTGGCCACTGTGATTCGATCCCTGGATCAAAATCCCACGGAAGAAGAGCTCCAGGACATGATAAGTGAGGTTGATGCTGATGGGAATGGAACCATTGAGTTTGCTGAGTTCCTGAACTTGATGGCCAAGAAAATGAAGGTAAAATGAATTCATACTATAAGCAATTTAACTGTTAATGCAGCTACAGAAATAACTAGAAATTGGGAAAAGGAGAGACAAAAGTTTAGCATTTAGCAAAGGAACTGACAAAGACTATATTTGTTTTGTGTCAAAAAACCAGGAAACTGATGCGGAGGAGGAACTTAAAGAGGCTTTCAAGGTTTTTGACAAGGATCAAAATGGGTACATCTCAGCTAATGAGGTAAATTATAATATATTTTTCTTCACTTTTTTTAACCAAATTAACAGGTTCCCATGCATTATTTACACTTTTTCCTTTAAATGCAAGTAGTACAATTTAACCCAACTTTTTTTTTTCCTTCCAAGGTTTATTCAATGAGAGAATTGTTGATATTAAAAGATTCACTCCAAAACTTTTAAAGCATTCAATTGAAAACTTTGGCTTGGGTTTACAACCCTCCATCGTTTAGCTCTGCTTTTCACATTGAAAAGTATGAAAAATACAACTAGCTAAGGGGGGTTGGGGGGTGTGGCGGGGCCGTTGCTATTGACTATCCATGATAGCTGGCATGTGAGGGAATAGAGAGAGAAAAAGAATTGGAAAAGATGACCAAAGGTTGACACAAGACAAATCATATGTTAAATGAGAGATATTGAGTATCTTTATTTCGCAATGTTCTACATTGGAATTTGCACAAACCCAAAAAAACAAAAAGAAAATGAAATTCTTTATGGGGGTGTTTCACATGTTTTCACCTAGTTCATGTAACTTTTCATGTGGGCATACATATAGATGATAGGCTGTAATGTTTTGTTTTTTTTTTTTTTGCATGCAATGAATATCTATTGCATTTGGGGTTTTGCATCTGAATTATTTTATCATGTTTGAAAAGAATCAAAACCAGATTAGAAAAATTAATTAATTAATTAATTAATTTCCATTTTCTTTGATTGTGTGTAGCTGAGGCATGTCATGATCAATCTTGGTGAGAAGTTAACCGATGAAGAGGTGGAGCAGATGATCAAAGAAGCTGATTTGGACGGTGATGGTCAGGTTAACTATGAAGAATTTGTCAAAATGATGACTACCGTTGGATGAGAATAAAAAAGTCTCCTTCACCAACCATTTGATTAAAGATATTTTAATTAATTTTGTATTCAAAATTCGTTTTGTTTCTATCCCCCGCTACCCCAAGAAGTAATTCCTCTTATTATTATTTGTTGTATTCTCTTTGTTGTTTTAAGTCAAATGATGTCCAATGACCAAAGGCTTAATTAGAATGACATTACATTTTTAACTTTTGTTAAATATATTTCTCCATTTTATTCTTGTATTCTAGTTGAAAACTTTCAATTGTTTCATTTTAAGTGAATTTGGAAAAAGGAAACAAAAGCTGTCTTTCTTCCATAGAAAGCATATATTTGGATGTAAATTTTATTACAATAGCACAAAAATAACAAATAAAATATAAATTTAACTAAAAATGGCTGGAAACGTAGTGTAAATAATATAAATTTTAATAATATATATATCTCGATTTTAGATTATATCTTGGGATACATTTTTCAAAATTACTTAAAATTTATTATTTCTTGAAAAAAATAATTTGAGGGGCTTAGTTGAATGGTAGCTTCTCCTCCAACTGAGGGGAAGATAGATGTGAAATTTCTCCAACCTGGTTGCTCAATTAATTTCTGACTTTGACTGAGGATCAATGGTCGGTGTGAATATTCAAAATTCCAAGCAGAACGGTATACAATATGGCCGTCCTGGCCCCTTTCCCATTTGGCAAAGCAACTACTTCTTTGTTCAGCGCTCTCCCATTCACATTTAGCCTTTTGAAATTGGCTTTTCACTCTGTATTTTTGTGCGCCCTTTGCCTCCAAGAAAAGGAAAAAAACATAGGAGGTTTCTTTCATGGTACTAATTAATTCTCTTCATGACCAAGTCCTTTAAATTCTTGCTTTAAAAACATTTGAAAGGAAAAAAAAATAAATAGATAAATCAATTATTAATTACATGCACATCTATATTAAAGTGATAGTATGTAAATATGTACGTATTTATGGACCGATATGTGTCATGAAAAACATGGTATAGCAAAGAAAATAAAACTTCCAATTCTGTATTATAAATAAAAAATAAAAGAAATATTGCATTCAAAGGCAACAAATGCTGCCTAACTTACAAATTCTCTCCTCAACCATCAGAAACTTACATCAACAGGCCAGCGTAAGTCTATACAAAATACAGAAAGAAAAACAAATTCCAGTCATATAGTTACAAGGTTGTTTCACTCTATATCATTTCATCTCTCAAATAAATTAATTTAAGCCACAGCTGATCTCTCCTCAACCAAAACTCCACTTGAGAAAAAACTTGAATCGGGAAATTGAAGGAGAAGAAGAAAATAGAAACCCCAACCAAACCAAAACAAATAGTGAAAGAAAAAATGAAACTGGGAACATGAAAAAGGCATTCCAAAAGTGTTTAATTGATCACAGTTGCACAACACATGCAGGTGCCAAAGAGAGAGGTCCTAGGCTTGCGCTTTACTTTACCTTTTGGTGGAGCAGGTGTGACTTCCTTATGTGAAACCTGGGTTGCCTTCTTTGCAGCAGAATGGTTGTCTTGTTTCTTTGGAGTAATCAACATATGAGCTTCTTCTTCTTCTCTCAAGAAACCGAGAAATGGAGTTTTTGACTTCTCAGAATCACTTCTTTCTAATGTAACAACTTTCTCCTCCACTGGCATTGCTTCATACTGTAATGAATTTTTACCATGCTCAGTGTTTGCTAGTGGTTTTCCAAGAGTATCATCGGCCTGGCTTGAGAAGCTGTCGATTGTAGGCTTATCCTGATACAGCAAAGGGGTTTGATCTGATTCCTCTGCTCGTGCATGGATTCGAAGATCAAGGTCAAAGCTCGGGGATTTCCGCATTTGAGAATTAATACTCATGTTATCAGAATTTGATCCAGTGCTGAGCCTTCCCACACTTTCTTGTTGGTAATAATCACCATTAGCAATAGCAGGTGTTTCAGCAATTGCACGTTGTTCGCTACACTGTTTTACTGAAGGCTTAGTCTCTGCCATTGTCACTGGAGTTGTTTTTGGACGATTTGAAAGATCCCATACAGGTTTCTCACCAGCCAGTTCAGCCATGGAAATTACATTTCTCTCTGTCAAGTTTTGATTTGAATGAGATGGGCTAAGAAATGCTTCTGCTTGTTCTATAGGATATGAATGAGATATACATTGCTCTCCACTTTCTCTGCTTGATGTATCATTTCCAATGGAATTTAAATCTTCAATTTTTTCCGGCATTTCTTCGATAATATTCTTCTCTTCTGATTCTTCTTTGTCTTTTTGATCTGAGAGAAAAATATCTGCAGAAATCATTGCATGGTCAGTGACCAAGTGAACTTCTTTCTTTTGTGAGTCCTTTTGTTGTTCCTCAATAGCTCCATTCTGGTAGTTAATTGGCACATCAATGATAAGACCGTTCTCGACAGTCTTTGCCTCCTCAAATTGAGAGTCCTTTCTGCTCTTAGAATCACAGGAAGTATCGAGCAGACATCTTGTTTCCTCGTTCACATGACCATTCATCATAAATTGAGGTGGAGAGGCACTTGGCTCATCAGCGTTTGATCCTTCTTCAGACCCCATGCCATTTGATTTTTTGATTGACTCCTCTTCAGATTGAATTGGGCAGTGAGAAAGCTTGCTATCTCCATTTTCTGATTCTTCCCTTACCAATATGGCTTTATGACTGGGAACTATGCCTTTGTCTTCAGTTTCTGAAACATCCAATTGCAAATTCGGTGTCTCATCTGCCAGAATAACTTCTACTTGTGATTCAGGGGAATCATTTTGAATTGACTTCATCTCACTTGGTAACTCTCCATTGCGTTTGGCTTCAACTCCATTAGGCAAGTCGGTCATTGTTGTGGTTATATTTCCTAAACTATTCCCAGCCTCATCCCCATCTCTATGTTCAAAATTCTCTTCACTGCTCACTTCTTTGGTTGCCATCTCTTTCACCCAAAAGTCATCCGTTTCCTTTTCTATCTTTGAACTGGAATCAGGACAAACACTCTCGACCATATCAGTTGAAATGCTAGGATCTGAAATGAAACCATTTTCCTGATCTGGACATGTTAAATATGGTATGATCACATGCTCACTTTTCTGTGGCCCATTGCACGCTTGTACCAGTTGCTCAGTGTGGATTTTGGCCGATTCATACTGTTCAGGCACTAGAACTTTAGGTTCTTGAGGTACTGAATCATGTGAAGTAGAAGATGCTGCATTGGAAGTTGAATCTCTAGTCCCCTCATCCTCTGTTGCAAAATAAGTAACAGAGAAGTAAGGTGGATTTCTTGTGTTATAGTTATATTTAACTCTACCAATATTTTGATTCTTAACAAATAAAAAAAAAATTGAAACAAATAGATATTGATGATTTATCAGTATCTTCTAAATCTAACTAACAGAAGAGTGCTAACCTTTCATCATGAAGTTCTGATTCTCGAAATGATGACTTGTTCCAGACGGATTCTCCTCCAAATTTGATTCTTGTTGCTTCTCATCATCTTTCAAGTCCTCGGGTGAAGAAGCTGATTGGGTTTCCCTGCCTTCGTCAACTGCTTCACTTGGTTTTGCTTCAACTTTTGTACACTCAGCTGATGGATGAAGTTCAGTTTTAACTTGTTCTATAAACATGGACGGACTAAATTATGTATTATAGGGGTTGCTAGATGAACAGATCAAATATGCAACTCAAACAAAAGGAAATAAATTGGAGTTTAACTAGTGCATGCTTAAAATGAGAATTTACTAACCTCGCCCTTCTAGTGTCTGGTTATGAAGAGTATCTACTACTGCCATTGGGTAACCAGAAGCCAATTCTGCCTCTGCCCCTGTTTTATTACAATCTTCACCTTCAGCTGCAGGAATGGTTAGGTTTTTTTCTTCAACATCACCTGCATGATTATCTTTTGCCAGAGGTTTTTCCTGAGGTTCAGCATTTGTGTTGTCCTCTTCTGCATTTATCAGGATTGTAAATAGACATCCACATATAGGCAAATAAAATGCTGCATTTGCTAACCTTTCTCATCCTGTTTTGGATTGTCACCATAAGGATATGCTGTTCGCTCAGAGTCACTGGAAACCAACCCGTTCTCATTTTCATGAGGGTTTTCATCTTCAACTACAGGCAGTAGATGATCTTGTCTTTCTGCTAAATCTGTGCTAGCAACTTCTTGTGAGGATTTTTCTTCAGTTTCATCGTTTATGTTATTATCTTCTTCTGCACCAGTTCCACAGCGTTATAGATATACAACATAATTTAGCAAGTGAGATGCTGAAACTTATGTTTTTCTGCAGTATTTCATTGGAATTGTAACATATTGGCAAGCAAAAGCTTTTTGTACTAACCTTTCTCATCCTGTTTCTGGCTTTCAACACAAGGAAATGCCATTACATCAGGATCACTAGAAACCAACCCTGTGTCCATTTCATGAGTATTTTTATCTGCAACTGTAGGAACTAGGTGAGTTTGTGCTTTTGCTTCATCTGTACTAGCGACTTCTTGCAAGGATTTATCCTCAGCTTGGAGATTTGTGCTACTATCTTCTTCTGCGTTAGTCCATCATGCTATAAGTAGAAAGCTATATTGTAGCAAGTGGTGATGCTGAAGTTATGCGATTGTATATAGACAATCATACCAGCAAGCAAGATGTACTCTATGTACTAACCTTTCTCATCCTGCTTCTGGTTGTCAACATGAGGAGATGCTATTCCATCAGGTTCACTAGAAACCAAATCTGTCTCATTTCCCTGGATATTTTTATTTTCAGCTGCAGGAACCAAACAATCTTGTCCTGTTGCCTCATCTGTGTAAGCAGCTTCTAGCAAGGATTTTTCCTTAGCTTCAGGTATTATGTTACTATAGTCTTCTGCTCCAGTCCATCATCATATTACATAGAAAAAAATTTTAGCAATCATTCGGGTTGTAAATAGACAAGCACATAATGGCAAGAAAGTGCTGTACCGACTAACCTTTCTCATCCTGTTTCTGGTTGTGAACATGAGGAGATGCTATTTCATCAGGTTCACAGGAAACTAAATCTGTCTCATTTCCATGAGTATTTTTATCTTCAGCTGCAGGAGCTAAACAATCTTGTCCTGTTGCCTCATCTGTGTAAGCAGCTTCTTGCAAGGATTTTTCTTTTGCTTGATGAATTATGTTACTATGGTCTTCTGCGCCGGTCCGTCATTATACATAGAAAAAAAAAATTTAGCGATCATTGGGCTTGTAAATAGCCAAGTATATAACGGCAAGAAAATGCTGTCCTGACTAACCTTTCTCATCCTGTTTGTGGTTGTCATAATGAGGTTCTGCCACTCCCTCGAGATTAGTAGAAGCCAAACCTGTGTCTTTTTCATTTTTATATACATCTTCAGATGCAGGAACTTCATGATTTTGTCCCTTGACATCATCTGCTGGAGCAGCTTCTTGCAGAGATTTCTTGCCCTCAGTTTTCATGTCATCTTCTTCTGCATTAGCCCATCAGAATTGTAAATAGAAAAAAAAAACATATTTTTAGCAATTAAAATGCCGAATTTACTAACCTTTATTATCTGTTTTTTGGTCGTCAACATTGGGATCTTCTCTGCCTACATCACCAGAAGCTAACCCTGTCTCTTTTCCTTGAAAATCCTTATCTTGAGCTGTAGGAACTACATGATTTTGTCCCTTGAAATCATCTGCATAAGCAACTTCTTTTTGAGATATATCCCGAGTTGTATTATCTTCTTCTGAAATAGCACACAAGCATTATAAGTAGCCAAAACATGTAGTACTTTCCAGCAATCATTTTTCAAAAACACCTTGTGATAGGCTTACCTCGCAATCCAGATGTGTTATTGTTCCCCATTTCATTTCCCATGTTCAACTCAACCAGCCCTGAATATAATGAAGCAGTAAGATCAATTCTTGGGGTAGTCCACTATGATAGCCAAAGGCTTTCCAGTTGAACTATATGAACTAAAGGGAGCCTGATTCAAAATATACGGTGTCCAAAAAGCCTTACCATTATGATGATTATATTCACATGCAAGTAACTATAAACATTTGAGTACAGCTTGATTTCTGTGAGCCTGCCAGGGTGTTAGAGCAGTTGATGAATTGGTTACTTCATTGGCATTGCTTAAAGCATAAGTCTGAGTCGGGTCACCTGTCAGCCGAATTGATATATCTCACTAAAGGTAGCACAACATTTGCCTTATTCTCCCTTCCTTTTTGTGTGACATTGACATTCAGAGACCATAAAACTTTATAGGAGTGCTATCCGTTAGAACAATATTAACCATTTAATGTTCACTGTAGGCGACTCAAATCTACCTATTACCGTCTTGGACATAAAATTTAATGTTGAGCTGAATTCTTAAATAGGATTATTCCGAATTCTAGGTAATCTCGGAAGAACAAATAGGTTAATCTAAACTTTCTAGGCGTTCATGTCTGCATGCAGATATGCAATAGAGGTGTTTAGATGGCATGTTCTCAATTTGTTAGTCCTAGGAACGGGTACCTAACGCCGCCTGCTGTAGTGTTTTTTAAGGATACCTTTTACATTTTGCCAAGCAGAAACATGTTGGAACATAAATGAGTTGGATTTTAGGTCGGCTGATCTTAGACATTTAAGAAAAATATAATAAAAAGCCTTATTTTTCTCAGATCATCTCCTCATTTTAGTCTGAACATGGATAAAGCATATAGAGAAAGGACCTACATGGCTGTCCACAGCTGACCCTTATGATCAAAAGATGGCCAAAGGGAAATGATTAGAATCCAAAGACAGCTAAAAAACCCCAGCAAACTTTGTGACTTTTATGGTCCAGATGAAGTAGTCTATTGTCAGATTGGCAGGTATCCAAAATGAAGATTATATCTATTGGCTTGTTTAAGCAATATGTTGATCTGGGATTGGCCAGCTTTAGGTGACCTAACTA